AAACCGTTTCTTGTTCTGCTCAGCAATTTCAGATGACGTCTTAATGTAAACTGTTTTTATCATTAAAGAGTTGTCCCTCCTCTCTCTCCCCAACCTCCATTCATGTTTATTGGTAAAAGATATGATGAGCTTTGAGTTGGGATTGATCTAAGGTGGGACTAAGATAAGTTGTTCAATCTGCGACAAACTAATATTGAGTGAAAATTTAATATTTTATGTTTTTTTTTTCTGGGAGTTATGTATTGATGTAATGAGCCAAAATTAAGTCGGGATATTGTTTGGAATGAATAAATTTTTTGTTTCAAGGCATTTTGATAAAAATTTTGTTTCGAGACAGATGGCAAATAGAAACAATCCCGATAGACTAGGCAGATGGCCCTTAAAATTTTGATGAAAATAGAAAAGTTTTAGAAATAGTATGGAGATGGATACAATTTTTTGAATCTTATTTTCAAATTATTTCCAACTATTAATCAACATAAACTAAAAACTCAGGAGTAAATTATTTCAAGATAATTGTGACCAAAGTAGGCTCAGTGAACGCCCATCGAATAGAGTGGGATCAAGTACGCGAGCGAGGGAGCAATCTCCATGAGGGATGAACCACAATCCAAAGGGAAAGAGAAGAGTGGTTGATTGGCCAGCGGGTGATATGCAAGCGAGACTGTTATTGAACTAATCAAGTCAATCCCTTTTCACTTTTCACTCTAGTTGTTGATTCAAATATCTTGAAATATTAGTTGAAACATTTTGAAACACCTGAAACATTTTGAAACACTTGAAGCATTGAAACTTCAATTAAATCATGATGCATTTCAATCTCATTGGAAATAAAATTGTTTCGACCGTTTAAAAACAGAATTGTAAATCTTGAAATTGTGTTAGCTATCAAAATCATTTTTCTTTTGCTAGATAAATAGTCTAATAATCTAGAAAAATAGCATACAAATAAAGTTCAAAACACATCTGCAAAAGGCAATCGAAATATTACTCAAAATGATTTCTCCTCTCGCACACAGACACATAATCTGCAATTAATATAAGGAAAATGCTATTTGCAATTAATAGTCTAATATAATTTATCACAACTCGATAGACTAGACATATGGTAGATAGAAACAATCCTGAAAACATATAACAGCACCCAAATTCCAAAGCAAAACTACATAGTATAGCGAGTATAGTAGAGAATTCAGGTGCAACATTTCAAACTTAATGCAATACAAAAAACAGATAGCCAAGGCAACAACATGGTCCATACAACGTTATATTTAGTACTTGAAAATGTTTATTCTACTCACACATGTATCATACAATACATATGTGAAGAGGAAGATTTCACAAGTGCAATTTCATGTCAATTTCCACCACCACTGCCACAACCGCCACCATCTAGAGTTGCAGCAGCTTGCAGAATAACCACTACATCGTCTCTCATGTCTTGTTTCTTTTTTTTACTCCTGCCATTGCCACCACCACCACCACCATTGGCCAGAGAAGCCAAAGCTACAATCGTTGCAGCCACCGCGAGGACTATGCCAAGTATGAGTTTCAACATGATTAATTTCCTGCTTCACTTCACATTTGAATTTCAAGTATATATAATTCATCAAGGACTTGACTCTTGGATGCAAAAATTAATGCAGTGCAGAAGAAATAAATTTTGGTGGGCTATACTGATGGTGACGTATGTGTTCGATCTCATATGGGGTTTCAATTTTTACTTAATGATCCAAATACGATCCGATACAATACGCCACGACACGATTATAAAATTAACACCATTATTAAATATGTTTAATAAATAATTTAAATTGTTTGACCCTTAAAATATAATAATTTTTTTTTTCCGTAAGTCTTAACACGAATAACAATAATACAACATAAAAATAAACAACATGAATTAACACTCATTGAGTCACAAAAAGGTCGCCACATGGCTCCCATATTTAAAAGCTGATTTCTAAGCCTTCACAGATATTATTTTGGGTTAATAGTATTTTTTAGTCTCTAAACTATGTACTTTAAATTATTTTAATTTTTATTGTATTAATTTTATTAATTTAATCTCTAAAATATTTCACGTGATATTTTTTAAAACACTTGCTAAGGATTCAACTTGGTACACTAAGATTTAACTTAAATTTATAGTTAAATATTGAGTGACCTTTTTAAGAATTAATTATAAAATGCCCCCAGAATTATTGGTCTTGTTTCAATTGGCTCCCTCTAAAATTTTAATTTCAATAATTTACCCCTTTTGCTTTTAATATTACCTCAATTAGCCCATTACCGTTAACTCTTCTAGTAAAAAATGACGGAAATTAAGCAATGAATATTAAGTGACCTAACATTTATTCTAAAAAGATTAATGAACCCTCCAATCTCTCTCTCGCTCTCTCTCTCTCTCTCCAAACCTACATATGTTCACTAGCAACCACAATGAATCCCCACCCTTCCTTTTCCTTAACCTAATTTGGGGCTATGCTAAAATATTATATGAGGCCCTATAAATATTTATTCAGTAATAATAGTAATATTAAATACTTATTAAATATACTTATTTAGAAATTATTTGTTTTGTCTTTTGAGTTATAACATACTATTTCAAATTTTACAAATAAATATTGTGTTAATTGAATTCAAATATGGAGATCAAATACAATAATACATATAATTTTTTAGGATAAAAGAGAAACATAATTGAAAATTAGTTTCACTAGTAAAATGATTTTTTTTTGAATGTATATAAAAATATGAATTTATACAAGTTGAGTAGTTTTAAGATAAATAAGACATTATTAGATATCATAGAGCAAAAGAGTTATTTTTAAATAAAAAAATTTAGTTAGACAACTATGATTAATTAATTTGAGATAGTTAGTGCACTACTTCTACTCATTCTATTTTATAGTAATCTTGTGTATTGTAAACAAATTTATTAAAAAATAATCTCAAATTTAACCTATATAAATGTAAAATTATTATTCGTACCTATTACAGGATAAATAATTGATTTTATTAATAAGACTGCAAAGTGATAATACATATAATATAAATATCGGGTGAGATAAAAAAATAAGTTGAACTTTAGGGTCCTAATTTTTTTTGAAATAGATTTTAAAATTTTATAATAATACTAGTTATATTTAATTTGAAAACCAAGTACATTAGATAAATAATAAATTTTATTTAAAATTAAGACTCACTATTAATTTAATGATTAAAATATAAAATATTTAAATTATATTTTAAAATTTAAGTATATATTATTATTTATTTTATTTTGGCCCCAAAATTTTCTTTCAATTTGGGCCCTAGGCAATGGCCTAACTGGCCTAACCGGCAACCCCGACAAACCTCCACCCTCTTCAGCTAAGTCGTCGAGTTCTAGCCCTTGAGCAGCAACCTCCACCCCAACCCCTTCAGCCACAAAACGCCATCGAATTTGACCCCTGAGAACCAACCGCTACCGCGTCACTCGACGGTGGCCCTCCACCTACAGCAACCACAAACCCCATCTAAATTCTACACCCATATCGTCGTCGTCGCTCCACCGCAATCCCTCCGCCACCCAAATCAACCAATAACCATCATGAGCAGCCTCATCGAATTAGTGATAACACACAAGTCAATTCATGATTACCTCTGAATCAAGGTGGAGATGGAAAAATTGGAGTTTTGTTCAGTGCTGGCTGTTTAATAGGTGGATTCGGAGTTGATGGTGATGCATTTAAAACGAAGATGACGGTTGGATTTGGTTGAGGTGTTGAATTTTCAATGGGCTTTTTTTCTTCTCATTTTCACTTTTCTTTATGATTGTTTAGTAGCTTGTGGGTGGTGGTTGAATGCCCACAGTTGGGTAATTGGTGGCTGGGTGATGGTAGTTGGGTGGCTGGTGGCTGTGACAAATATGAAAAAGAACGAATGGCCAATTTGTTGGATTTATATATGGGGTAGCTTTGGTGTTTGCTGTCAATGGCTAAGGGATGCGTAAGGTGGTGTGGCTTCGTTGGTGGAATGTGTTTGGTGGTGATTGCTGGTAACGTTGGAGTTGGTAGCCTAGTTGGGTAAGGAAAGGGGAAAGAAAACGGATAATTAGCAAAGACCATGGGTACAAACGTAATTTTATAATTTTCATTCAATTCCTCAGTTAATTTAGACTATCTGGAAAATGAAAGGGATAAATTGTTAAACTTAAAACCTGACTGAGCTGATTGAAATAACATGAATAGTTTAATGAGATATTTTGTAATTAATCCTTTTTTTAAAGCACTTGCTATGGATCCAACAAGGTGCACTAAGATTCAACTTAAATTCATAGTCTAATATGGCGTGATTTTTTTTAAAAACACTTGTTATGGATCCAATCTGGTGCACCATGATTATGGATCCGACCTGGTATAGTCAAATACGGGGTGATATTTATTGAGACAATTGTTATGGATCCGACCTACAGGGTGGCCCAACAAATCTGTAGGCCTTATGCAAGAATATGAAGGTAAGTCTTATTAATAGACAATAATTATTAAAATATATTCATTTAAAAGTTATTTTTTCTAGTTTTTGAGATGCAAAAATGTTGATTAAATTTTTAAATTCAAGTTTGTTAATATATCTTTTTCAATAGATAATATAGCTAATTCATTTAATCTTTCTTGTGACATAGTTGATTGGAGATAAGATTTTATTAATTTAAGTTTTGAAAAATTTTTTTCCGCCGAGGCAACTGTTACTAGTATTATTAATAATATTCTAAAAGTTGTACATACATTTGAAAAAGAATATAATTGTTTTATATAAGTTAATTAGGGTTTCAACTGGAGTGTTAATTTTAAATTGTAGGACTTTTCTTAATAAAATCAATTCTTAAAATAAATCTAAACCATCAATATCAGAAAATAAGTCATGCTTCAAAAAAATTTCAAGGTTAAGACAATAACTTTTCAAACTATCATCATCTAAGGATTTAATTTTTAAAACAAAATAAAAAATAAAAAATATTTTCATATATTTTGAATTGTTCAAATCTACTCTTTATCGAAGAAATAGTTAGATCAACTATAAATAAAAAAATACTAAATTTTAAAATATTCTTCAACCGATAGTGTTATTGCATGTTAGTGATATGCTCATTAGTTATTTCATGAGTTTTGAGCTTATAACTAAGATTTTTCAATCTTTAGTTCCTTCATTAACTAATTGACTTTGTGCTAGGTTTTGAATTGAATAACTTACAACAAAAGCAATATACTCTATCTAAATCTTTTGAATATTTTAACCATTTTCTATCATGCGTTTCTCCGTTTGACAATTTTCGAGTGTAATATGCAATAGAAAAATGTCTATTATTTTCATTATTAGGAAAGTCTAAATCATTTTCCCTAATAAAACCTCTTTCAACTAATAAGTCTCTTAATTTTGTGTCAATATTTGTCCATTGTCCTGGATCATAGATATTTATTGGAACATAATCTAATAGTTCACTAACATGTTCACATTCTTTACCAATTTCATTTTATTTTAGATCTTTTTGGCATTCCATTGATTTTGCTATATTATCTAATAGTTCAATCGTTGAATCATAATTTTAATTTTTTTGCTGTAGTTGGTTTATCACTAATAACAAATTTATTGAGTTCTCGTTTTTGAGTTTCAATAAATTCATCTTGTTTTCTCTTCTTTTTACGTTTTTCACATCCAAAATCATATCTTCGAGTAGACATACTAATTATATAACTTGCAGTTACAACAATGAAAAATTATAACACAAAATTTATAAAAATCAAATAAAACTAAAATAAAAGTTAAAGAACAACACAACTTGGTATTGTGAGAGAGCAAAACAGTTGGCTTTATCACAAGACTCACAACATCAAAATTCAAGGGCAACAATCAACTATCATAATTCAAGCATTCAAGTTTTTGTCAAAAAAAAGAGACATTCTAAATCAACAATAACATCAAAAATATGAAACCAACATATTAAAATTCTAAGCACACTAAACTTCTAAAAATTTCTATAAAATTTCTAATAAAAAATGAGATAAAATTTGAACAAACTAATTTATTATAGTAGATTGAGCCCAAAATATTCCAACCCTTGAATCTTGATCACTATCAATTAATTGACGATTTATTGAACTTCAAGAGATTATAGAATAGAGAGCTTTGATGTTCTTTCTTTGTTCAGATTCAAACTTCATAGAGAGAGAGAGAGAGGGGCATGAGGGAGTGACGTTAAACAACACTGTGGTATGTAAGTAAGTGAATCTCGTAATTTGTGTGAGAGAGGCAGAGTGATGTAAAGAGATTTGCTTAATTATTTCACAGAAGAGAAGGGGCAGATCCTCTGCTGTTGATGAAAAACAGCACGGTGTGCTGTTAAACAAAATGCCAGTGTTTTGTTAAATGTGGTCCCCTATAAAGATACTTTCGGCACAAGTAGACAAACAATTCCCAAAATACAAAGCATTTACTTGCACTCTTCCACCAAAATACTAACTAGGCATTTTTTTTAAGTATTGTATTTT